ACGAGGAAAGCGCGTTTGCACGCAGGATGCTTTTGCATTAAGTGTGTGTGCACAAGGCAAGGGCATTTGCCCACGGGATATGCATTTGCACTAGGGATGCTTTTGCATCAAGGAGGGGTACGCACAAGAGAAGGGCATCCGCACGCAGGGTGTGCATGCCCAGGGAGGTGTATTTGCACGGGCAGATGAAGCAGGGAAGTGCACTCGTGCAACCCTGGGATGTCAGGGTGCAGCGGGTGCCCTGGCATGCAGGATGGGTGCTCAGAGCTGGCACATCGGTGTTAGTCAGCACCAACCGGCTCTGACTCACCACTTAATGGATACAAGCTGGCACGGCACGGCAGAGCGTGGCACGGCATGGCGGATGGCCACCACAGGTGCAGGCTGGAGCCGGGAGGGAGCTGGGGCACCCCAGGGCTGCGGGTGGCTCTGCTCAGCCCATTGGCAGCAGGGACCCAGCATAGAGTGGGAACTGGGGACACCTCATCCCTTCTCTCAGGCATCCTGGGGAGCTTGGGACACCCGTGGGTGCTCAGCTCCCGTGTGGTTTGGGTGCGGCTTGCAGGATGCCGATGTAAAATGTGCTCCCGGGGGGCAAAGCCAGCTGGGGTCCTGCTCTTTGGGGCCAGAACCTTGGGGACGTGGGGGCCTTATTCCTGCCTTGGCTGGTGGCTGCCAGCCCCACACCATCCCTGCTGTCCGCTTCCATCCTCATCCATCACCACTGGCGCAGGCTGATGTCCGGCACAGTGCTGCCGTCTGTCTCCCTCTGCCTTTTCATCTTCCTGGTCCTTTGTCTTCCAGGGAGAAAAAGAGGAAAGAAAATGGAAATGAGGAGGGAGAGGAGAGGGGAGAGGCTGCCTCGCCGCGGGGATGGCACCTGGGCAGCCCTGCTCCTGGCAGAGACCTGGCCAGCTGCGTGCAGCTCCCCCTGCCCCGATACCTCTCCTGGGGCAGCCACCACAAAGCTGTAATTAAAACCCAATGCGTGTCTTGTCGGCTTAATTAGGGGTTTAATGGGCAAAGAGGGAGGATTGCCGGCAAGGAAGCCACAGCTCCAGAGCTGAAACCGCTGGCTGGTACTAGAGGTGCCCACTCAGCCACCGAGGCAAAGCACTGGGGAGGGGATAATATATGGGTGCTATAAAATAAAAAGCACGTGGAGCTGCTCCAGCCACCACGGTTCCCCTGTGAGCAGAGAGTGAGTCGCTGGAGGCTGCTTGGGCCGAGCGGGGGGATGCTGGGTGAGGTGTGACAGGGTGCGGGGCCATACGATGGGGTGCAGAGCCATGTAATGGGGTGCAGAGCCATGTAATGGGATGCAGGGCCATGCGATGGGGTGCAGGGCCATGTGATGGGGTGCAGGGCCATGCAATGGGGTGCGGGGCCATGTAACGGTGCAGGGCCATGCGATGGGGTGCTAGACCACATGGTGGGGTGCAGGATCATGCGATGGCGTGCCTGACCTTGTGGTGGGGTGCAGGACCACACAGGGGATGCAGGA